AAACTGCATTCAGCATTTTTGCCAACTGTGTTTAGCAATTCTGGACTTGCATTTATCATTTACATTGATTTGCCCCTGCCCGCCACATCATCAATGTGTCACCGCCCACATCATCATTGCGTCAAGCGCTGGTCATCAACCTTTTTTTTTGTTTTTTTTTACTTTTTTTATGTATCAGTTTTATTAATCAACTATGAAGCATGGTCGATTAAGAAAAATCGACTATGAAACATAGTCATTAATAAAGAAATTCTTTTTTAAAAAAAATTAAGTTTTCTTTTAATTTTTTTTTCTTTTTTTTAATTTTTTTATTCTCTATCAGCTATATTAATCGCCTATGAAGCATAACCGATTGAGAATATTACTACTAAAAGTAACAAATCACAATTACAAAAAAAAAATGCAAAATCAACTATATTTTACAAAATCGACTATTGAACACGTACGTAGGCGATTAAAGGTTCAGTTTGCGCGAATTTCAATTTTCGCGCTGCCCTCTGCCTGATCTACCATAAAAACCCCAGATTTGCCTACCCCGCGCCGTCAAAAAAGCAGAGCATCCCATCATCCTTGGAACTTCATCGAATTCCATCCCAGATCTTGCGACTTCAATCCCACCAGAATCCTTGAACCCAAACAAACCATTTTTCCTTCTCCAACTGGACTTGAATTGACACCAAAAATAGAATATATAGATCAGAGAAACAAATTTAGAGCTACTCAAAAGACATGGTTTTCTGGCGTCGATGACTTGAGACATGGTATTCACTCTCCGCCGTCGCTGCCATTGTCTTCTCCTCCACCGTCGCTGCCATCTTCTCCGCAGCTGCCATGGTCTTCACGTCTCTGTCGCCGATGACTTGAGACATGGTCATCCCCCGTCGCTGGTGTTTCTGTTAGCGAAGAGAATGAAGAACAGTGAAAATTAGGGCTGGGGTATGTATGGGCTTTATAAGGGTAGTTTGGGAATTATTATAAATTCATTTTGATGAAAATATACCTAAGGGGGTTTTCTCTAATTATTATCGAGATGGGGGTTTCTCTTAACCACATTTTCTAGATGGGGGTGTTGCTAGTTTTCCCTTTTTTTAAATCAATATGTTTACTTACTGAAAATGACTACGTGTAACTTAGTAAACCATAGTCATTCGTAGTAATTGTTGATTTATATGCCTACAGAAATCAATTATTTTAAGTTGTAACAGATTACTTGTTGAGACAGTATTATGTTGCAACTATAATTCTTGTGTTGTCACAATAATTAACTATTAAAGACAAAATAAAGAACACAAAAATTTAATGTGGTTCAAACACAATTGTGCCCTACATCCACGAGGACCTGCAAACATGATTTCACTAGTTCAGATTTACAGATACATTAATAGGACTTAATAAAATAATAAAGAATCCCTCTTTAATTCTTATGACGTTGTTGAACACAATTTGAACTTCGTGTTTTCTCCACAACAGCTCCTCTCCGCGAACCTTGAACCTTCTTCAAGCCTGAACTCCCTTCAGAAAAGCTGATGATCTCTCCCGAGATCTATACATCAACTGTGTATATGTTGGCACACAGCAACGAGGGCATAATACTGCTTTACAGTCTGCCCTAGCACGACTTCAATATGATGAGAGATTTTTCTCCAATAACAGTGCTCAGATCTTCAATGACTTGTGCGGCTTTATATAGGCACGAAGTTAGCCTCCCAAACCCTTGCTTAATCTTCAAGAAATCGTATAACTAGGTAAGTAGAATTCTAGCCGATTTCTAACTATATTCTAGATAAGTACAAAGATACCTAACTAGAATAAGATACATGAAAATAAATCAAAGTCCTAATAAGAATATTACAAACATAGGAATCTAAATAATTCCCAAAAATAAACATGAAAATATATCTTTGCCAATCTTTTAATTCAAAAAATTTGGCGGTTTTCCTCGATCTTCAATAATCGGAAATCTGGTGCCAACAATAAAGTTCTTTCTTTTTACCCCAAATTTTTAGTCGACCAATTATGTACACACATGAATATCACCGTTTATATAAAAGAAATTCATAAACACCAACAACAAAAATTCATAATTTATTTTTTTATATTATAAATCAACTCATAACCAGCAAATACAAATCCAAATACACAGTTACATGCGTATGTATCTACATGTTACTAGTAATGTGTAGTAATGTATACGGTCTATAGAACACTTTAACTTGAAGCAGATGTCAAAATCGTCATCAATTTCAACCAACTTTTTTGACACCTTCAATGAGAGCATTAATGACTTCTATTAAGCTGTAATTGCAAAATCAAAAAAAAAGATATTTAATGTAAATCAACAACAATTGAAAAAACATCAAAATACACAAAAATTGACAAACACTGAGAGAGAGAGAGAGAGAGAGAGAGAGAGAGAGAGAGAGAGAGAGAGAGAGAGAGAGAGAGAGAGAGAGAGAGAGAGAGAGAGAGAGAGAGAGAGAGAGAGAGAGAGAGAGAGAGAGAGAGAGAGAATAAAAATTGAACGAAATTACCATCAAATTATAGATCTCGATGAGAGGAATCTAACGGTGGGTAGCCCATCATAATCTGACTGCCGGAACACAATTTACCCCTTTGTAAGATCCACCGTCGTCGAAAATACGTGTCCACTGTAAAACGACTGCAGAAACAGATGCATAGATTCAAACTGTATGAAATCACCACTAAAAGAAAGTGTTCGACGAGAGAAATCTAATGGTAGTTAAACCATCGAATTCCAACCACCGGAGAGAGAGTTATGACTCCGGAAAGCAACATCACCGGTTGGAGACCCATGGTGGAGGAAATTTGGATATGAGAGTAGTAGAGGAAGAGAAGGACGAAATTATAGTTTTATCGTGAAAGACAAGTTTTGAAACGGATATTAAAAGGGCATCTTAGGTACTTAAAAGTGGCGAGGGTGGTATCCAAATTAAGATCAAATAGGAGGGGGTGTGCACAAGAATGTAATCAATGTCCTTGGTATTTAGTTCAAAATATTTTCTATTTGAGGGAGTCTATCAAATAATTCCTTAAAAAGATGTTTGAAAATTGAAAACATCGGAATCGGTGGAATTTGAAAAAATTCAACTTTTTAGTCATCTAACTTACAAAATATATAAAAATTGAAATCGAAAAAATAATCAGAATCTCATATTTATTCTAATCACAATCCAAAAAAATTGAAAATTTAAATTTCGAAATTCAGAATGAAAAATATTATTCGAAAACCAAAACGTAATCGATGGAAAACGAAAATTTCGTGAATTCCGATGTCAAATATAAGATGTGCTTATTTAGAAAGAAAAGGGATGCCAAGTCACTAAAAATACGTGTAAGAAACTGAGAAGATTCCCTACAAATGTGGGAATGAAAGCTGAAAGGCATTGAAACCACTCGCATGCAACCAACAAACCTTGTCCTACTCCCATTCTTTACCTCTTCTTTTCTTCCACCTTCTCTCTAACTCTAAAAATTACCACTCTCTCTCTTCTCAAATTTTACCAACTCTTACATTTTTACCCTATCTGCAATAATTATGGGTTACGTTCTTCTTCGTGAGCTCAAATCAATAAATTAAAAAAAACAAAATTAAAAAAGAATAAAAAATAATAGATGGGTCCAGGCACAGACGCAATATCGTATCAAGGTAAATTGGAAAATGGATATTCGAAAGAGATAGAAAAGAAAATACAGCAAGAGGAAAATGACGATTCTGCCCAAGCAAAAGTGTCACGCCCTCCATTGATGCGGCATTGCATCAGCCATGCAACTTTGGCTGATCCTTTTACACTGGTCAGTACCAAAATCCTTCTTGTGTTCAACGTTTTCTCTCTTTCGATTTCTTTCAAATAATTGTTGTGAGTCGAGTTACAATCAGTTTTCATCGAGTTTGATGTAAACTGAGTTCGAATAGTAGTTAGCAGTGGCGAAGCCAGGATTTCGTCATTGGGGCCGAATATGCATTCAAATTTTAAAATAAAAAAAATGACATAAATGAATGAATGAGAACAATGATAGTTCCAAAAGTGGGGAGTCTAGAATTTCGTTACATGGCTGACTTATTTTACAGGGGTTCAAGGGCAGCACTCCAAAAAAAAAAATTAGTCTTTTTTTATTTTTATTTTATGACAATTTGAGAATAGGAAAAAATTGGGTGTACTTAATGGATATATAGGTGTAATATAGTGGATTTTTTTTCAATTGAGGATGAGCTTGAGTCCATTATTTTCGAATGGTGGACTCACTCCTAGGTGCAAGTCACAATTCATAATTTCATTATCATGCTTGTTAGAGTCATTTATAATATTTTTGTTTTCTTCAATTAAAAATACTTAATTTTGTTTTTAATAAAACTAAATTGTTAAACATTATAGAAGTACAATATAAAGGTTATTATATAATAGTAAACAAAATTAAAATTTGAGGGGGGGCATGGCCCCCCGGCCCTACACCGGCTTCCCCATTGGTAGCTAGTGTGGAGATATTAATATTAAAATAATACATTTCACTATTAACAGCTTAAGTTTTTTGTTGAGGTCGTCATTCAACATGGTATCAGAGTCCGACCAAATGAAAAGGTCGTGTGTTTGATTCCACAAACACCCATTTCAAATATTTCAAGTGTAAAGCTTCAAATGGAATTCACAATAGGGGGCGTATTGGAAATATTAATATTAAAAAATATATTTCACTAAAAGTTTAAACTTTTGGTTGAGGTGATCATTCAACAGTAGTTTAATAGTTTAATTGTTTTATGAATAGGTTTTCTTTCTTTCTTTCTTTATTATTAATTTTTTTTTTGTGCACGAGTTGAATTTCAGGTAATATTGAATGATGAAAATATTAAAATTTGGTTTGTCGTGTTTCGTAAACAAAGTTTGAATGAGCTTTTCCATGTGAAGTTGAGGAGGCGCTAGTTTGGTTAAATTTCGACCTTAGTTATACCTTTATATGTTTGTTCAAATTGGATAACTTACGACAAAGTTTCTAGCTTTATATTAGTTGGATTTCGCTCTTGATCCAATTTCTTGAAAATTAAGATTAGCACTAGAAGATATGATTGTTTTGAGGACATTAAAATCAAGTCATTTGTACTATTGTTGGTATTATCATATATGATATTACGTTTCCGTTACGAATGAAATGGAAATTTAATTCGAACATCATTTGACTTCATTTGAATGTATAGGAGTGTCCTATCGAAATTGGTCCAAAATCATCGAGCAAGGACTCTGGATTTGTCCCAATATTTCGTTCAGGAAGTTGCTCCGAGATAGGCCCAAAGCCATATATGGAGGATGAGTACATATGTGTTGACGATCTTTCTGAACATCTCGGTGCAGCTAATGGTTTACCCTCTCCTCGAGCGTTTTATGGGGTATATATCTATGTACCCTAATGCTTTCGATTCTTGTTAATTAACTAATTTAATAGTAAGTACTTGACATAAAAGTGGTTAACAATTAATTGACTCGCTTTTTTTTTTCATCAAGGTGTTTGATGGTCATGGTGGCACAGATGCTGCATCCTTCACTAAAAAGAATATACTCAAGTTCATCGTCGAGGATTTCAATTTTCCAGATGGTGTGAAAAGAGCCCTCAAGAATGCTTTCGTGAAAGCCGATCACGCGCTCTTGGATGCCAAGAATCTCGACCATTCATCCGGCACCACAGCTCTCACTGCTCTCATGTTGGGAAGGTACAACAAATTAATTTAGCTATACAAATTTATGAGTTTATCGCATTCGTCACCCTTATGTCATATCGAATTTCTAAAAAAATGCTTGTGTTATAAATATCAGTGTTGAATGACCCAATGACCACATCAACCAACAGCTTAAGCTATTATAAATATTAATTAGTAGCTATTATAAATATTAGTGAAGAATGACTTTGCAATTAATGGGATGCATAATTTAATATTTAAATCTCCAACACGCTCCCTCAAGCGCAAGTGAATTACATTTGAAGCTTTTCACTTGGAATTTTGGAATTTTTTAAGCGTATGGTGGTGAGATTCGAACATAACACCTTTCATTTGGCCAAACTCTGGTGGCTCTGATGTCATGTTAAATGACCATATCAGCCAAAAGTTTAAGTTATTAGTGAGATGTATCATTTAATATTTATATCTCCAAGTGATGCGTATTTAGGGGTGGTTTGGGGATAAAATTGAATCATAGGGAGGTTTTGCTAACATGTATATCACTGGGAATTTTACTAAGGGGTGTTGAATGAAGTTAACCCACAAATCTAGTGATCATATTGTATATTTAATTTTTTTATTGGGGTTTTTTTTTTGTCCTTCTTGGTATACAATAATATGACAGGACTGTAATCATCGCGAACGCCGGCGATTCCCGAGCCGTACTCGGAAAAAGAGGAAGAGCAATAGAACTAACGAAAGACCACAAGCCCAACTGCACATCCGAAAGAGTTAGAATAGAGAAGTTAGGTGGAGTTATCTACGACGGTTATCTCAACGGTCAACTCTCCGTGGCTCGTGCACTAGGTGACTGGCACATCAAGGGCTCTAAAGGCGCCAAGTGTCCCTTGAGCTCGGAACCCGAGCTACACGAGACGATCTTGACCGAAGAAGACGAGTTCTTGATAATAGGGTGCGATGGTCTATGGGATGTGATGAGTAGCCAATACGCGGTAACAATTGTACGCAAGGAGCTAATGGTGCACAACGACCCGCACAAGTGTTCGAAGGAGCTTGTGAAAGAGGCTCTTAAGAGAAACACGTGCGATAATCTGACGGTTGTGGTTGTTTGTTTCTCGAAGGATCCTCCTCCGCAAATCATTGTACCGAAATCGAATAAGAGGAGGAGTATATCGGCCGAAGGGTTGGATCTTTTGAAAGATGTGCTTATTAGTAATTCTTGAGATTAGCCTTACACATTTGAGTTTGTGTTTTTTCTTTTTTCTTTTCTTTCTTTTTTAATAGTTGTTAGTCATCAATAGTTTGGAATTGTAGGGATAGATGTATGATGGTTTTAATTGTATTGGCATGGAGTCAGTCTAGTTAGAATGTGATCTGAATAAGTATTTTGATTTATGTAAATGCTTTTTTTTTCCCCCAATTGTTTCAGGTTTTTCTTTGGTGTGTTGTATTCTGTCTCCAGTCCGAATATGACAAGGAAAATAATTATAGTATTGATATAGGTGGGTGTAGGGTTGTCAATCGGGCCATGTGAGCCGAGCTTGGGTTGACTCAAACTCACATACCATCGAACTTCATTATTGTAGGCTCAAGCTTATATACTATCGGATACATTACTATTGGCTCAAACCCAGCTACTGTATTTTTTCAGGTTTCGGGTTTATATCGGGCAAACAACTTTGCAGTCGCATGTGTTAGAAAAGAAAAAAACGAATTTCACAACTGAAGTGGAAAATCTAGAATATTTATTAAAAGTAAAATAAGATAAAAACTATAGTCGCAAAATAAAATGAAATACGTAGTTTGTTCCTTAAAACAAATGAAGTTTAACGTTGTTGCAAATGTTTAATAACATGACCAAAAATGCATCAGAGTCCAAAATGAAGAAGCATAAATCAAATAGAAGCAATTCTAGATGTACTCCCAACTTTTTTCTAGATGTTGAGCTTAAAATTATAAATGTATTATTTATTTGATTATTAACTTAATCGGTCGGATTTTATTCGAGTTGAGCCACAGTAGGCTCAAACTCGACTAATAAATGAATCGTGTAAAATAAAATAGTTCAAACTCGACCCTGCTCACTAAAAATTATATAATCAGATCTAGCCATCGGGCTTCGATTAGGTTCTGATCAATTGCTGCTCCTAGCCCCCCTAGTTGGGGGATGATGGAGGCATGTCAATAAGAGGGTGTTTTTAAATTAAATCAAATGATTTTCTTAAATTCAATGTTTGTAAAGCTGCTTTTTAAACTTATACTAGGGATATAGGAACAAAACTCTAAAATACATAATTTGCCATAGCAAATCTCTCATCAATAAAACCATCTCAAACACCAATCAATTGAAGTCACTTCATATCTGTTACAAATGTTACAACACTACCAGGATACAAAAAAAAAATGAATATATTAACATCAACAATCTCTCGACAAAAAAAAAAAAACATCAACAAAAAGGAAAACAATAATCAACTAAAAAAAATATGTTCTAGGCAACCACAATACCAAGGTGAAAATGGTACAGATAAAACCGATCAATCAACTATTTCCCGCCAAATCAAAGGATAAGAAAACTGCCATACCTCGAAAATGGGTCACAACAGAAGAAGTTACAAACACAACAGACGAATGACGATAGAGCGCACACAAGAGAAAGAATGGCAAAAGAAAAAAAAATAGGAACATTTTAGAAAGCTTTCCAGCTGTCAGAATCTTTCCTCGGAGTTTGATCTTCACTCGATACCTTAAACGGGTCGCTGGATCCAAAAGGATCCGCACCATCATCGAACGATGGAAAACCATGGCCATAATCAGATTCTCTTGTGCTACTGCGCATGGAATCAAATCTACTGAAAGAAGAATCACGTGGAGTAAACTGCCCAAAGTTGTAATCGGAATCTGCCGTGCTACGAAAAGAGTCAAATCTGGTCAAAGATTCCTGTGGTGCAAAGTATCCCTGATCGTATTCAGAATCTCGAGTGCTACGCATGGAATCAAATCTCGTGAAGGAATCATTGCGTGAACCAAAAGGACCGCTATCGTGCATGTTGAAGGAATCGAATCTCGAGAAGCTGCTGCTTTCGAATGAATAGTGTTCATCTTGATCTTCGTTGAATTTCCGAGGAGAGATGCTAGAATTGTACATTGGTGTGCTTGGCATAGAATCTGCAAATCCGAACGGCTTGCCTGAGAAAATGTTATCTGCATTAGGAGAGTTGGTGGAATTATAAAGTGGGGTACTCGGAACTGAATCGAAGAATGGTCCTTGGTTTGGAAATGTTCTATCTGAGTCTGTGGATGTAGTTTTAATTGGGTTTAGACCCCAGTCTTCGTCACCAAATAAAGAGCTTCCGTTTCTTCTTTCGCGTTCAAAGTCCCGTTCAAAGTCCTGAATTATAGTGAACCAAATAGTTTAATGGAAGACCATGCAATGGGGGAAAATATATATATACATATATATATATATATATATATATATATATATATATATATATATATACACACACACCGCAATGAACTGATTCTTTAATACCTTGAAAGAATTGAATTCCGATTGTGCATCTGAGTCATAATGGGCATCAAAGGAATCCCAACCTGGTTCATCGAAACCTTTTTCCCCAGAATGTACAGAATCGGCTCCACCAATTTCACTGTATTAGCAAATCAAGAGACTCTAAATCATATACTTAACAAAAAACACGGAAAGGCAGAAAAGAATCACGAAACAGAAGGAATAAACTACCTTTGGGTGTCGAATGCACGAGGTGAACCATTTACATTGATGTTCCTCATTCGCAGATCGTGCAATTCCTTTGATGGGCTCTCAGCTGCATTACTGCCAGCTGGACTGCCAGGTGGACTTCTTGCTGTTTTCTCAATGTTGGCTTTTGGTCTCTCATTGTCAAGTTCAGAATTTGTGAGTTCTGACTTGTCATCAGCTTTAGATGGTGATCTTGAAGTATCGCTGTTATCTAAGGAAGTAACTCTCTCTCTAATCAATGAAGTCTTTGGTTTGGGAGGGGCAATGATGTTTTGCACTTCGAGAGTAAGCTCTTTGACTTGCATAAATCCTGAAATTGTGAATGGTTTAGCAATTGAATAAGTGAAGATTATACGTAAAATAAAAAAAAACTGAAATATCTCTTTTTATTTTAGCATCAAAATTATCGAAACAGTAAGAGTACCTTCATCTTCGAACACATCCCAAGCTTCATCCCAATCCGCGGCTGCTGCTTCAATGCCAGATTGCCAACCTGGAGAAGAATTTTAATAGCAACAAGTGTTACACGGAAATCATCAAGCATATCACTCGTAGAACATGATGTCCAATTCTAACATTTATCGTATTAGCCAGGTGGTAAAACAAAATCAATTTGATTTTTTTCACCCTATCTAGCTGTTTGTTATGCTCTTTATTGAACTTTCCTGTTGTCAAATCAGACTTTTGTAGCTATTGTTTAGCAGGATTAAGCTCCGACCAATCAGACACGTAGAAACAGTTTGAAAATTTTAGAAAACCGAAACTTTTTGACCCACTAATTGGAAATGAGATGCAGAATTAGACAAGGAGAGGTTAATGCTGTGAACTTATGCATGTTGGAGGGAGAAGTAACATTGTAGCCCTTTACCCCATACAACTTCAGTCCCCCTAATTCAACCACCAATAAATTGTGTCCATTTTATATTTTTTAATAAAAATCGACTGACCTTGCTTACTAATGAAGACGCACCTGTGCATTTAAAAAAACATATATATGGGTCTAGACCATCAGGTTTGAACAATTACACAAACCTCCCTTGCGGTTCGATTTAGGTTACAAATCAATCCGAAACCCAATAACTGAGATTTTTACCCTCACAATAATGGTATGTTTTTCGTTGAACTTACATCGCCCACTCTAAAATTAGTCTCATTACAGCTAGATCCTTACAAAATTAATTACCCAAACCTCCGTATTAAGTTCGATTTGACTAACACTTTACCCTATTTGGTTGTTTAAACTTTATCTTTTTAAACAAGAATGAGATTAAGAAAGAAAAGAACAAAGATCTTTCCGGTATCAACCGACCAGCCACTCATCATAACGGCAGATCATGGTTGCTATAAGGAAAATACTGATTATCAGGGCTTTTCTTTTGCAATGGAAGTTATCAAAAGAAGAAAAAAACAACACCGAGGTGGAGAGGTGGCCGTGGGTGGAGGTGAAAGAGGAAGTCATACAGAAAGGATAGCAATCAACAGATTCTTTAATGCTGTCGAGCTTAAAATGCAATTTTCTTTGAGTAACTAAGAGTAGGAAAAAGAACATATGAAGTTCAATTAAATGATTTTCCCAACCAGCAGTAAAAGCAATTGTTTCTTATAGTTCAAGACTTCAAGTTACAGCAATAAATGAAAGAAAAGGATAAATTTATAGTTATTCACGTGATTATACGTACCAAATGGAAGCTCGAGCAGTGAAGTTGGTTTCGCACGTAGTCCATAAGTTTTGCACCGTTCATTCAAGGCTTTAACTAGTTCCTCAACCTCTAACTGGATCTTATTAGCTCGATCCTGTAGAAACCAAATTCCAGATTCAGAAAATATTATCGAGTCTTCATAAAGTCAGGTGAAGGCACCACATACCTGAATACCATCAGCTTTATCATGTTCCAGTCTAACAATTGCGCGGTACAGTTCCATTTTTTTATCCTACAACCAGGATTGTTAAATTTACAAAAGTGAACATTCTAAAAGGTTAAGCTTGCAACTCTCTACACAAAATAATTGGTTATACCGGCATATAGCAAAAGAAGGTGACAAGAATACCTGAATATCACGAAATGTGGATTCTTCAATGGTCAATCTAGATGAAACAGCTCCATTCTTATTGTACTTCTCTTCATATTTCTTTGCTAATGACTCAGCCTAAAAACAACTCAGACTAAGTTAGTCCAACAAAATGCAAAGTCAAATGGAAATCTACGCCAATCATCTTAAACAGTGTACCTCTTTTTTGTCTTCAACAACTTTTGAGGTGATCTCGTTCAGCCGATTATCGCATCGGCTTTTGTACAGAATCTGCAGCAATTGATGCTATTAGAAAAGGCAGCAAATAGTTCATTCTCAGCTGAAACTCTCTTCATTTAATGCATAAAGTTCCAAGAGAGGATATTCAAAATCTAAGAGAAAACTTCAACGGGCCTTAAAATGACCAAGATTATTAAGGCAAATAATATACTCTCTAATCTCTAAGAGCAACACTCAGATCAGATACCAGAGCTACGATGAACATTAATGAACTTATAAGTTCCATTTAACAACCTCCCCAAATGCAATAAATGTGATTCTCACTTAATATGTATACAAATGTGCATGCATATGACTATCTCTATGAAAATGGATATAAATGCCTGAAACTGTAAGTGAACATTTTCCTTGTAGCAACTAAGATGAGCAATCAACTCACAAGTTCTTGCATCTTGGCACGGTAGAACTGAATTTTTTGTTTGGCTTCTACAATATCCTTTTCCAAATCTGATACCTGCAAGAGAAGTAAATAGAGAGAATTTATTGAATGTTCTGGGGTGAGGAAAGTTATGATCCCACGTTCAGAAACTTTTTCATTTAACTCAGGATTGCCTTCCACCTAACCTGAAGGGAACTGTTCTTGTGTCGAAGATACCATTTCTTATTTTTGTCAGTATATTATGTTTATCATTTGAATCAAACATCAGAATAAGGCTGAACAGAAACATAAACTTATGGAACCAAGCCTATAAAATCAATTCTTCAAATATTAGCAAAAATCCTGGACTGAACCTTTAAAATGTCAATCATCATCCACTAAGTAACTCAATAACAGTCCAATGATCAAAAGATTATATTTATGTTAGCAAAGAAGAAAGCAAAATCCGTAAATAGGTACCATATTAGAAAGTTCTACTCCCACATCAAATATTTACTTTCATGGATATGGCCACTATGGCTAACCAAATTAAAGCGTTACTGAGAAGTTCTTAGCCTAGAAGTGTTTCTCTAAGTTATATTTCACCTAGTTCTGATGGGCTACGTAAAATTTGAAAGCACAGATGCCAAGGAAAGGAATTTAACTTCTTGGGATGAGGAACCGAATGACTTGTCTCATCAGCACAAATTACTTGCATAATAGTACACCTAGACATAGAGGATACGACTGGTGTAAAATACATTCAGCAAAAATATGCAACCATCAAAATTCAAAACGACAATGAGAGCACATATAGTAGCAATATACATGCAACTATCACGGCTCCCTCAGAATTTCGGGGCTATAAGTTCCACGACTTTCAATGTCATTTTCAGGAAAAGGATGTTCAGCTAATAATGGCATTTCATTTGTAGCAACAACATCATGCAGTATGATATAAAGCATCGTGAAAGGCTCATGAGCGGCAAATAAGATTTGAATCATCGCCGCAAGTGCAAGCAACTAGTTGTAATTCACTTCCTGAAGAAACAGGAAAATAAGACCAGAAAAGCACCATAAATTTTTAATGACCAACATACATAGAATTTATTAATTAAGTAAATACTCTGCCCTTCTTCCATATTGTTTTTAGGATGGGGTTCCTGTAAAAAATTAACGGCACTGTACCACCAAAGTGTAACTCTTAACATGTTCCTCATAATTATACTAAAGGTATTAAACGACCAACGTCGGAAAATATTCATAGTTAGTATATATATACAATATACACCTCACAGAACCTACCACGTCTACATATGCCACCAGTTTCCATTGTCCTAAACTCTTACAAGATGAGATATTATTTTAAGTACCATAACAACAGAAAATAATGGAAGGTGAAGGAGGAGAAAGGGAGGAAAAAAAACTGCAATTATTATGCATAGAATAGGAATTACCTTTTTCTCTGCATCCTTTGCTTCCTCGAGCTTTTTGTTTAACGAATCCTGCTCCTCTGTGCTAAGTTGGTCTACAAGATGCTTCTCCAGCACTGGGACTTTGGCCTTTTCTTGTATGGGCTCATCAGGTTGGGGAACAGGAACTGGACGAGGTGGCTTTCTTCCACCAGCAGAAGGGGGTGGTCGTGCATTCTTAGTCCCTTGAGGTTGTTGGTAACCTAATTAAAGTCAGATAGAAATGAACCCATGTGAATTATATTCAGATATAAAGAATGTTGATTGAGAAATAAAACCTACCATATGCCGCAGCTGGTTGACCTGGGGAAGGAAACAATGACCCATCAATAACAGAGTTTGGAAGCACATTAGGAAGAGGGCGACCTTCTCGAAATCGTTCCATCAAATAGAGCGCAATGCAGAACTCTCTCAACGAAAGCATGCGGTCATTGTCTTGATCCGATAAGTCCCAAATAAGCTTTAAGACCCCTAAAGAAACAAATGCAACAAATAAAATAATATTAATAAAATAACGAAAAAAACATGTACTTAATAGTGCCATAACTTTTTTCAATATAATAAGAAATCCAGAAATATTAAAGAATATATTTCGTCAAATTAATACCAGCGTCTTGAATTTTTGGCTTGATTAAATATTCTTATACTGAAGCAACATGTAGCATGTAACAGACTGAAGTTATGTTAATCATAGAGAAAAATATCAATGAAGACAAAGTGAATCTGCAAAATTCAAATACATTAAAACTTTTCTGGCATTTTTTCTTCTCTGTTTCTACTTTCCTTTTTTCCCATTTAAACCCTCCAAAACAAAATTGCAAGTGGTCCTACTGATTCTAACCTTGAGCAAGTAAAGACCCTGATTTTGGTACAAAAATTGTGTGGCATTTCATTTCATTACCACGACTATACTCCTAGTACGCCAATCTTAAATTCCAAATGCTTGCTCTGGTCAATGTTTCTTCAACCCCATGCCCCAATAGCCCTTCTTCTGAAGGTTTTTCCTTGCTAAAGAAACTAGAACTGATATGAAATATGTGAATTGGTTATTATATAGGATCTATGTACTAACCGAGTGAAAGCATTAAATGCAGCATACATGCAAACTTAAATGACAGCATCATAAAACTCAAATTGATGTATGGCTTCCTCCGTAAAGCAAGGTATATCAATAGTGATGCTTCTCATTTTTGGTTTTCCATGATAATTTTGAGAGGGGTAATGTGAAAAATATAAAGTTATAACCCTTCAATTCTGTATTGTTCCACTGGTAATAATAGATACTGAAGAGTCCAATAAATTGATATTGCCTGCCGGACACCATTTTGTCATTAGGGAGAAAGATATTATCTGCTATCAACTGACTGAGGATTCATTAGATCAAAATAAATAACAAGCAGCAAAAGACCAATACCAGTTCAAACTGATAACATGAGAAATTATTTAAATCCAGATTATAAATGGCTGAAATCCTACCTTGTGGCAGCCTCCAACTAAGGAATAGGTCCCGTGCCTGTTCGGCAGTAATTTTTCCATCTCTGTCAGTATCCACTTGCACAAATACCTTGCTGTACTTCTGAACATCAGACGGAGTCATTCTTGGCCATGGAGGCGGAGGTTGAGCAGATGCAAGGTTTCCAGCTCCAACTGGATTAGGTGCCAGAACATGTTGATTTACTTTCTTCTCTGTGGATGGGGGCTGGTGAGCTTGAATTGCTGGAGGGTGAGAAACATCATTTGGCTTCATGGTAGAATAGTCTGTTAAAGAAGTGAAGGTTGCGTTAGATGAGGCGGGTATGCTACCAGAAGAATATGCAAGTTGTGTGGAGTTTTGCTTCGGTTGAGAAGGTGCCACTGAGAACATATTTCCTGTAGCTGACAGTGGTTTGGACTCTTCTTTTCCAACCTGGGAAGCAGTGTCAGTCTGCATGGATGGACCAGACTGAAAAAAACCCGTACTTTCTGGTGGTTTAGGTTGTGTAATAGGTGAAGATACGGAGACAATGCCTTCCTTATTTGCAGTATTTAAGCTTCTATTGGAAACCTGAGCAGAAATTCCAGCTCTAGAACCATCCGTACTCCCAGGAACCAAATTAGAAGATGTCGGGTACTGAGAACCTGCCACAGGGATTCCTTGGCCTGAAACACCTAGATGAGACTGGAATCCGGAACTAGGAGGTCGAGGCTGAGGTGGCACCACGAATTGGTTCTGCTGAGAAGGAAAACGAATGGAGCCACTTACACCTACACCTTGGGTGGATGTAGGAGTGCCACTTGGTTGTGCCGGAGACACACCTACCTTCATAGTTGACTGAGGACCAGACAAGGCTGCAAGATTTATTTGGGGAGCAGGAATTTGGGATGAAGCTGGACCATACAAGGCAGCCTTCACAATATCTGGAGTCAACCCTCGCTTACTTTGTGCCACTGTAACAAGTTTAAGAGCATTATAAAATTCGGGACGACCAAGGAAACCAGTTTGCTTTTGATCAGCATACCCCCATATCTGCACGAAAGCTAAAAAAGGTCAATTTCAGTTCCAAATCAAAACATATTCAGAAAGGTTGAAAAGGTAATAGGTGGTTTTATGTGAATCTAATTATTATCTAATGCTTAAGCTGAAGCAATAATATCTACTAAAGAAACAACAATAGTTTGACCCTGCTGTAAGAGAACTAAATAACTAAGTAGAAATCCACAATTTACAAATATTAATTAAGGAAAGACATAATGACCCCCACTTTACGAGCAACCTTATGAGGCCTCTTAGAACTTCTAGATTATAAGAAAAATCAATTAGCAAATTACTCATCACTCAAATCACCAGAAGAAAAAAAAAAAAAAAAAAAAGTACACATAAAAAAGGAATCAGATAGACATTGCATGACGTCCAGATATAGGGAATAAAGTGTCTTAGATGATAAACGAGAAAGTTGGTTATAACACCTGCCACCCTCTTCTAGCAGCCTCGTGTTCTTACACATCCTTTCAACATAGTATCCGTAATTATCGTTTCAACACACTATATCAAGTATTCTTAAAGATAGATTTTATCAGTAGAATTTCATACCTAGTCATATGAATAGAACTGAAACTGCACAGGTAGAGAAATGTGTGGAAGGACATAGGAAAATGTAGATTTTTATTTGTTACGACAGTTCTAACTCATAATGGAAATGAGATAACATAAAGACAAACAATTCAATCACACTTAAGGAACCCTTGAACGATGTCGCAGCACATAACTTTCTAAATTGACCTCGATACTTAATGAACAGAAAATTAGCCAACTGACGCACGACAAACAAATACTGGTCAACCTCAAGCAATGTTTGATAGTTCAAAACCATGAATTTCATCTTGCAATTTCCATTGTTAACTGTACTGCCCTATTTTCCCCGAGAGTTCAAATTTACATTAGATATGATTAAATCTTATAGTTAGTGCTTATCCCAAATACCATGGTTACTAATTGCACAAACTCTAACCACAAATCTAGAACAATCAAACTAGTCCATCATCTCATCAAACTAATCTGCAAATTTCTTATTACAGCAACGGAAATCCGGCTTCGGGAATAACGTATAAGTATCATATTAACAAAAAGGGAATATTACAGAGAAAAGAATATACAGACCTGAGCGAGAACTTGTTGGGGCAAGTTCGAGGCTTTGAAGAAATCAACTGCCTCCTTCCCACTAACCCGACCATCCCGATCCATATCGGCTCTCAGAAAATATGCCTCAAATTGCTCCATATTTGGATTTTGCCCCGCCATTCTCTACGGTCCAAAAACACTTCAATCTGTTCGCGAAGTCGGATCCAAAACCACGGATCAATTCGCAGATCCAAATTGATCGAGATGCGAGGAATTTGGCGGGATCTGGAGAGATGAGAGCTTTGCCTGCAAAAAGGACTTGCGACGGAGTCGATTGTCAGAGTTACAACAGCGTCGTCGTTTTGAAGTTGTGTAAGGGGAGCTCAGCGAAGAACACTGCACCGACTTTTTCCGGCGTGAAATTGTCGACGGCGGCGGCGGTGATTGCCGACGGAATTGGTGGAGGAGAGAGCCGCCCGGTGGCAGCGGCGGATGGGGCCGTTGGTAAATTTTAGTGGCGGAGGGCGGAGAGGAGAAATTGGGAGAATCAATTTGTAATTTTGATTGATTTGGTGAAAATGATTTTGTTTGTATTAGGGATCGGCCCCCGCAAATGCTCTCTCTCTTGTTTTCCACAGTTAATTGGTCTACAAACATTGTTAGATTAGATCAACTCCTAACTCAATATTATCATCAAATATTAATTTTATTTTTTTAAATTTTATTTTTGTACTTATATAAATTTATATTTGTGATTTTCAGTTATAAATAATTAAAGTGGTTATATATTGAATTATCACATGTCATTTCTTAAATGGTCATTCAAGTGATTAGATTTATAGCTCTCATTAGATATTATATCGATAGGATATTGCATCGCAAGAGGTGAAATATCAAAATACAATTCTTATTTGGTAATTTTATTAAGTGATTTTTTTATTTATTTAGAGTATAAAAATGGGGTTAAGGGTTTTAATAACGTATTTTTTTTTACAGCAATGAAACTTATATTTATTAGGCATTAGGCAGTAGATGCCAAATGGAGGGGGAGATCAATTCCCTCTAACGAGTCACTACAAATAAGATGAGCGAGCGCGTGGGCTAAGCTATTACCCGACCGCTTAACAAAGCTAAAATCACACTGTAAAAAAATCCTAGAGATACTACAACATTCATCGACTATAGCACCGAACGATAATGACTCTCCACTTCTATTCTTCAGTGCATTAATAACTTGAAGACAATCTCCCTCGACACTAATCCTTTGCCAACTTCGATCCTGAGCTAAGTTTATTGCATGCAACGCCGCTAAAGCTTCTCCTTCCACCAGCAAAAGATTGCCCTGAATATGACAAACCTTCCATCCCAAGCTGCGACCCTCCGCATTTCTAGCAACCGTTGCCACTATAATTCCGGCAGGAGCAGATTTAATTGCAACATCGAAGTTCAGTTTAACAAAGTCCCTTTCTGGTGGTTTCCATTCACTAGGGTGGGCACTACGTAAGCTTGGATTCGGACGAAGTTGAGCACATTTGAAGTTCGCCACATAATTTCCGCACCAGCCCACCAAGGCCTCAACCGCCATTATTTCCTCCCCTTTTAAGTTCCTTATTGCGTCTGTCCCAAGCTTGCCAAGCGACCACCATAGCCAAAACGAAAAACTCCTCGCACAATTGTTCCCTTAAGTTCATAATCCACTGCCATGCACACGTGAATATCGGGCCAGAGACTTTGTCAAATGGAGGGGATCTCCAAATGGTTTCCATGCCTTGACATGTAGTCAATATATGTAGTGCATCCTCCTCCTCCTTGTCGCATCGCGCACACCTAGGTGATAATCCGATCTTCCTTCTGTAGAGTTCAACGTTAGTGGGAATAGAGTTTTTTCCCAGTCGCCATATAAACATTCCTATCTTAGGCGGCAAAGGAAAATTCCATAATACCTTCCAATCACGGTTCGCCACGCCACTGGTCGAGTCACCATTGGCCATGCGATTGTGTTGAGTCACCATTCCATTGGTCAGCACCATGTGATAGCATGTTCGTACTGAGAATTTTCCGTTGTTTGAATGATGCCAAATCCAGATATCGCTTGTGGACAGGCCACCCACCGGAATCGCAAGAATGCGCTCCACATCAACTGTCCAAAAAGTGCGTGATATCAAGTCCAAATTCCACGAACCAAACCCATGCACCATTAAATCCGAGACTGTATTTGGGAAAGCCGACGAGACCGGACGTTTGGTAAGAATTTTAAAATTGCCCCCATCATGTAGCCAAGGATCGGCCCATATCGAGGTATTAGCCCCATTGCCAATACGCTGTCGGATTCCCATTTTCAGTTATGGGATAACCCTCCAAATGGATCTCCAGGTTGTGGATGGCCGTGAACCAACTCCGGCGAACAGAAAATTTTCATTGGGAAAGTACTTGGCTGCCATAATTCTTGACAAAAGCAGATCTGGATTAGCTAGAATTCGCCAGGCCTGTTTCGTGAGAAATGCGATATTAAAAGACCGCAAATCACAAAATCATAGCCCTCCACTTTCCTTAGATTTACACAGATCTTTCCACGACACCCATGTCATCCCTCTATTCGACCCGTTGCCCCACCAGAATCGTTTAATTGCTACCTCAATCTCCGACACTAATCCCACGGGAAGGAAAAAACAGCTCATTACGTAGGTCGGAATCGCTTGTAAAGCGGACTTGATCATCACTTCTTTCCCTGCTTTAGAGAGTTGTCTTTCCCACCAACCTTTAATTTTAGTCCACACATTGTCCCGAAGATAGGAAAATATATCTTTTTTTTTGTTTTTCCAATGGAAGCCGGCATCCCTAGATATCTATCGTGGCTCTCAACAATCCGGAAGCCAAGTATTTGATGAATAGCGTTTCTCATAATCTAAGAGGTGGAGGGACTAAACATCATCGTAGACTTCTCAAAACTAATTTCCTGTCCTAACACCCGTGCATACTTTTCTAAAATATTCTTCAAAGTTGATGCATAATTCTGCGTCACCTCGCCAAATACGAGAGTATCATCTGCAAAGCAGAGGCAAGACACCGTAGGGGCTTGTGGAGCCACCCGAACTCCTTGGAATGCTCCTTTCTCCGTGGCTTTAGTGATCATGAAAATGAGAGCTTCTGCACAACAAATGAATAAATAGGGAGAGAGGGGGTCCCCTTGACGAAGACCCCTTGAGTGTGTAACGGCACCGAACTGCGTACCATTAAAAAGAAACGAGAATGAGACGGTAGACACACACAACATAATAATATCCACAAATTTAGATGGAATTCCAAAACGAAGAAGAATTTTTTTCAGAAAAATCCATTCAATTCGATCGTATGCTTTACTAATATCCAGCTTAAGAGCCATGTAATTAATTTTTATTTTTGTACTTTTTTTCTTTTTCTTTTCCCTTCTTTCTTTCCCTTTCTCTTTGCCCCTCCCAAAACGTTTTCTTTCACACACCCTCTAACGATTCCATAAAGAATCATATTACCAAACAAACAAATCACCCCCCCAAAATTTCGTACAATTTTAGAGATTACCTGTTCCAATTCTCCACCCATTGAAATCCTTTTCGCCTATCCAAATAGGCCTCGAGACCTCGCTAGATAAAGAACCGACACTCTGATTTTCAGCGCAATTTTACGCAGTTTCACCGCCAACAACAACGTCCGCAATATCAACCATATCGCTCTAATTTTCTTGACTAAAAGGTTATATTTTGTATGATAGTGAGTAAGGATTTCATTAATTTGGTTATTTGGTAGGTAATTCGTAAGCTCGTATCCAACCGCAAGCAAATTTAACCAACTTATCTATAAATGCTTTTTGGATGGTATTTCGTTATGTTATTCCCTTACGTTTAAAAAAAATATTTTATGCATGCATTTTGCTTAGAAAATTATGAAATTTTATGCACTTATGTATCTCTCCGTTATGATCACTATGATCACTTTGGTAGGTTATATGTATGATTTGGACAGTAATGATTGACTATGAATTATTTTCTATAACTATACCTAAGTGTAGTCTGTCGCAACTGCGATTCAATCCAATATTGTACTTACTCAAACTGACAGAATTATTTTGGAATAGAATACTAATTTACTGTAATTGTTTTTCATAAAATTTGGTGGTATTTTATCTTGTAGGAAATTTATAAGATATTTTCAAAGTCCTCCCCACTATTCTGTATTTTAAATTGTGTTGTTGCACCACTTTAATTATTCCTCTTAATTGGCTACATATATTTGCAAAGTGTTTTAGACGAATAATTTACACTTGTAGTAGAGTATGTGATAAAATTTCTAAGTATTTTTCACGAAGGGTTTCATAGAAATGAATTTTGAGTCGAACTATCAAAATTGTCTGAATTTCATTGTTTTACTTATTGTAATAATATTACTTGTCATTCTTGCTCTTTATTATTAGAAATTAGAATGAGTAATTGGATATTGCTTAGTAAAGTGTGGACACTATTTGGCGAAACACACTTTTATGAGCACTAGCACTTCTACAAGTTGAAAAGAAGCGTAGTTATAATTATGATATAAAGTGAGGGACATTAACGATATTTAAGGTGGGTAGGGAGCTAACTATAAGCGAAACCTAAAAGGGGCAGTATAGTGTCCGAAGTATACTACTGAGGACCGAATCGTAATTGAAACTAGGCAAAAGAGATTTGTAAGCTAAAACTCCTAAAATATTTATAATAAATTTTTATTATTAAAAAAGTTTGTTGACCGATATTACTAAACCAATCAATTTGTGAGTTAACTGAAAACCATGACCTATTCATTTATATATGGATCAGTTAAAATTATCGAACAAAAAATAATTGTCCTAAAAAAACAGGTTGAAGACTTTTTCATGAAATTTAAATTGTATTAGAAATTGAGAAAGTAGAGGTAAAATATTATTCGAACCCAAGACCTCTAGTCTAATAATGTAAAGAACTACATTTTCAATGAAGACAACCTCAAACACAATTCGAATTAAAACAAATAATAGTAAAGGGCGTGTTTGATTGCCGCTTAATAACCTTTGAATGAGAACTATTGCTTATTCGGTCCTAAATAATGAACTTGTTCATTCAGCATAATTCTGAACGACTTTGGACTATTTTATCCATAAATTAAGATTTGAGTTTTTCAATGACCTTTTCTCTTATTAGCCAATAAATTAGATTTGTAGAGTGCATCTCTTTTTAATATAATTTTATATATTTATTAAGGCGACGGTTATATGCAAGCCCATTTTTTTATTAGTTCAAGACCTCCAACATAAAAATACTAATTTACCCTCAACGAAATTTAAAATCAAATAAAAAACACAAAACATAAAAAAAAAAAAAAATCATTTCCTTTGTGCAAGACCAAATAAAATACATAAATCCAGAAACCCCTCTTCCTTATTTCACGACTTAAAACTCTTCTTCTTCACAAACCCACCAAGAAATCCTACACACCAAAATTATCAAATACATACCAAACATTCACGATGGAACTAGAAAACAATGATATGGTGGTTTACGAGGGTGGAGAACAAAATAAAATATGTTTTAACCGTTTATTTTTGCTTTTTGGTCG